TTGATATTAAGCACTGCTGTTCAACTCAGAGCTCCCAGTCCTGAGAGAGGGTAACAGAAAGCACTTTTCTTATGCGCATGATTTAGAAGGGCATAAAAAAGTTTCTTAGGTCCTAGACACTGTCATGGTTGTGCTGCCATAGTGTGGAAATGAAAGTCCACAGAAGAACAGGGAACAATTTATGTTATATGACTTCTCTGTCTTCATATGTTGTGACTTCAGAGCCACTGATAAGGAAAACATCACATACCCTTTTGAAGTGGTAGATAAGACATACAGTTACCTGATAAGAAACCAGACAGAAGACGAAGTGATTGGTTATGGGCCACAAAAGCACACCTGTGTTAGGAATAAATCTCAGAAGTTCTGGTCTCAGTTGCCTGGTTTAATTACAAGAACATTCTCTCCTAAATATTGGCATAATATACTGTCATTTTGTGTTGATGCACATGTTTGTCTTAAGTTACAAAGTGTTTTTTGATTAAAAAAGAATTGGAAAATACTTTTGGACAAAACCCCTCACAGTGCTGTCAGAAACACTTAAAACCTGCTGCTTTGTTCTGTTCTTTTTCTTTTTTTTTAATTGTGAAATATATTGGCATGAAAATAAAGCCAATAAATGAAACCAATGCTGCTATTGCAAGCATTAGAAATGGCAAAACTGAATACAACATGATGAAATTTGAAAGTTAGAAATGTTAAGTTCTTTTTCTCTATCTTGTTTATGCACCACTAGAATGCAGACTTAAGTATTTTTCTTACCTTTACGTGTAAAATTATGCAGAAATGTCCAAAGATGCACAGTCCAGATACAAGTCTTGTGGTGGCTGATGGCTCTTCAGTAAACATACAGTTCTTAATGGATGCTTGTAGTATCATTCTCTGTGTTTGTAGAACATGAAAAAGTAGTTGTAGGATAAATGATTAATTCACTTCAGACACAACACTTTTCATGCTTCAGCTATGGTGAGGTTGATGTATTTTGCTTTACAGTCTGGCTGCATCCTAAATGCCCTTGCAAATCTCTGACATGGGCTTTTCAACAAGTAGGTCTTTCTTGGGAGTACCAGCAATCCCTCAGTGGTGTGCCTAGTCTGAAAAACCTGCACCACCAACTTTGTTGGCTTAAGGAAACAGTATTAGTAAGCTACCCATGACTGCAGGAATAGAAAATTCTTAACAATGAAAGCAAGTATCTCTTGTTTAGTAAATGGTGTATTTCCTTTATGGTCAGAAAGGATTTAAGTATAGTGGCACTACATACTAATTTGAAACTTAAGTGATTATTTAGGACATCTTTGTAAAGAGAATTGGTTGTTCCAAGTTGTAACTGATTTCTTAGATAACGGCAATATAGTAAAACTAGTACATAGGTAGTAAAAGGAGTAGTCTAGTAAAAGAGAGCTTGAGGGGTATAATAGTGATTTGACTTGCTGTAGCATTGTGTTCGTGAGGTAAGTCCGTGATTATCTGTATCCTAGTTAATTTATCTCTGTTATGGCACAGAGTTTAGTTGCAGAGGATATAGAAGGATCATCAGAAAGAATCTTCAGAATATCTGACTAGATTGAACTCTGTCATTGACCTTCAGGCATTACACCAGTCTGTAGTTTCACTTGTGGAATTTCACGTACGAGTGTGTGCACCATGTGTTTTCTGTTGTATTGAGAAGAAATTCCTTTGCCCATACAAAAATATTTCCTGCTTACTTTAACTGATAGAATGAAATTTTTGCTGAATCTGTAATGATGGAGGTCTGTCTCTAATCTACAAAAATTAAGTTCTAGTTTAAGGTAGAATATTGTCTTTGGTTTGTGACTGCATTTGTTCTTTATCTACCTGATGCAGAACATAAGCGTGTTAATCAGATCTATCTGGATTCCCGCATACTGATTTTTGTGGATCATAAATGAGGTGAACTTTGCTTGACTTTTACCTCTCAAGAAGGATATTTGTGCACTTCATGAAACCACCATAAAATTCAGCTGTTTCTTCTGGAGCAGATCAGAGGTGGAATAGCAGTGGGTTTAGAAAAAGCTGTGTTTAGGGATCAGGACTGAAACAGGGGCCTTGATTTCTGCCTTACTGGCAGAGTCGTGTGACATTTTAGCCTGAGGTACCTATAGGTGCTGGAGGGTAGGATCTCATAAAGGTGTCTGAGTTGTGTGGGCAGTACCCGCGTGTTTGTATAGCTGGGTTTAGCTGTAGCTTTTCACTTTCTAAATCAGATTCTTAGTGCAATTGATCACTAGAGTGAGTAGAGATGCATTTACACATCCTTGCTTGAGAATGCGGCCCAGACTGCTCCATGGAAACAAAAGAGAGGAGAAGCAGAAACATGTTAGGTTTTGCTTTAAAATCTATTCTATGTGCTTGGAATGGAAATGCAGCCATCCAGATTTCTCTTTTATTTATTTCTAAATAAGTTGGTTTTTTTTCCTTTGCCCTGAATGCCGGTGCTATGTAAAAGACAAAGTCTGATACCTGTCTGTAAACCCTTCATTGTCACTGCTGCCACAGAATCCACCTCGATGATGTGTTGACCTTGTTTACCAGCTTTGGCTATTTAAGATGTCAGCCACTTCAGCACGAATGTCAGGAATCCCTCTAATGCAGTAGGCCTCCCGTTCTAAATTTACTCGCCTTACGGTTTATGGTCCCTCCTCTGTGGTTGCAGCAAGAGGCCCCCTTTTTATGACTCGCCCCTCCTGCTCCCCTTGCTCCCCCCTTCCTCACTCCCTCCTTCCCGCAGCTGGTAACCCTTTGTGCACATGGCCTGTTGGAAAGAAGTGCTCGCTGGCTGTCCAGCAGATTGGCTGCCACAGTGTGCTCTTTTGTTGCCGCTAGGTAAGATCAAATTCAAGTGAAATCCTGTAATTCACATTGGGTTAAAAGGCTGTCCTTGGAACTTAGCAATTTTGGTATCCCAAGATGCTGAAAGGGGGCTTGGACTGAACCACACACAGAAGCGCTGCTTTTATTTTAAAGCTAAGTTGATCAGAAGTTTTCTCTAATGCCTCATTATTTAATCTGTGACATTTTTTCATCCTTCAAATGGTCACTATTACCTTAGAATGCAAGCACAGAATGTACCAGAAAGTTAGGGTAACTTTGAAGGTACCAGTTGTTTTGTTCAGTGAGGAAGAAGCATGATTGTGCTCATTAAGTTGCCTTGGCAGAACAATGGCAGGATGTAGCTTTGTAACCAGCATCTCATGAATAGTATTTATTAGCATGGCCAGTATTTGTCTTTGTGCTAAACCAAAGTCTTACATGCTGCTTTTTAATAAAGAATTAATTTACTAGTAAATCTACTTCATTAAATTACTAAATGTTTTAATAATATTCTTTAATTTCTTTCCTTTCTATGGCTTCTTTGCTTGCTGATGTTACACAGTACACCAGGGAAGGCTGCTGCAGAGGAAAGCTGCCATTGCTAAGTACTGGCTAGGATTTTATAACATGACTCAACTCACCAGTGTTGCAATGCTGTTTTCTCTCCCATTTTGTCACATACAAACATACTATGAATACCATTTACAGGGTAGCTTCTTTTCAGCATTCTGACTACATAGCTTTGCTGTCAAGCCTCAGGATGTAAGCTGTTTGTCTGCAAAGGGCAGGGAAATTGTGTTTTAAAGCATTTTAAGCAGTGCTGGGTAGTGGTGAATTACCAGCTGTAGTTTCTTACCCTTTTGCTGAGGCATCAGATACTGATCACTGCCAGAGGGATAGTGGTGAGACCGTGGGTGAATAGTCTGACCTGGTAGGCAAATCCCATGCTCCTACTCTCATGTAGAAAGGTGTCATTTTCAATATAGTACTTTAATGATTCATAGTTTCTGAATCTGTACATAGACAGTTCTTGCAGTGTCTGTCATAAAACTGTTCATTGTCTCAGCTGTTTAGTTGGCACTTACTGTCCGTGTAGTTATTTGTCATTAAACTTGGGTCACAGGAGTTGCCATGTGAGAGCAAACCATGATTGAAAGTGGAGGATCCAGAACTAAGGTTACAACTATAGCAGAGTGATAGAAGATTTTGTCCTCAGTTTGGGGCTTACACAAGTTGCAGGTGTATCTTGTTGATTGAAACCCCTGAAACTGTAACCATTTCCTCCATACAATAGAAGACTGGCAGCGTATTATTTGGGCTGCTAATCCATTTCTTGTGATGTTTTTTATCTTGAGGTAGTGATGAGCCACCAGTCAGTTTGGTTTGTTTCATCAGGAGCAGGCTGCTTGCTTCCTCACGAGCACTGAGCTGAACTTTGCATTTAGGTAACAGGCATCAGATGTATGTAGTTTGTGTTTGCATGTTGTTCACAAACACCTTGCATGAATACCCTTCAGCACTGAGTCTCAAAGATCAGAAACTCTGTTGCATAAAAGATGGTAGTAACTATCATCTTTTAGTAACTAGTTACTGTGATAGTAACTATCATCTTTTGCAGTTTCCCAGGTAAATTGTGTAATATTGTTTTACATCATTTCATTGTGAAAGAGCCCAATTGAAGTTACTCAAAAAAGAGAGAGAAAACTAGTGATACACAACAGGTCATGGGCTGACCATAGAGGGGCAGTCTTCCAAGAAAGAGTGGAAGCTGTGGAATTCTTTTCCTGTTGTATTTTTGGACAGTACTAAAACTGAGGCTGTGTTTTGAAGACTTCTTATGGTTTTGCTCTTCCAGCTTTAAAGCAAGTTACTTACACCTAGAGGAATTAGAGACTCTGCTTGTTGTTGTTCAAAGGAAACAAATGTGATTTGATGCTGTCATGGTTCTGCTTCGTAAAATTGCATGTCAAGAGGTAAATAACATATAGAGAGGTTTTTACCAGCATTACTATTTTAGACTAGGTTTATACCAAAGGCACTAATGGGAACAGTAAGGGCCCTGATACACCAAGCAACTGCTGGGGAAACAGAGGTTTTAATACTCATGTGTCTTAGTTCATTAGTTCATTTAACAAGTAGAAATATCTTGTGTTTTATTTTAACTACAGGTTGCCTTTACTTGGTAGACACATTAGCAGGAGATCCAGAGGTCCTGCAAGCAGGTGCTGAAACATACTATGAAGAACTAGTGAAGAAATCGTTGTCCATTCCTGATGTTTTTTCAATCCCTGGAGGAGAAGAGGTATGAGGCTGATGTTTTTCATACTGCAAGCTAGATAGTTGCAAACTAGTTTGTTGGTTGTGCTCATAGTCTGTGAATAGGGGTAACCTGGTGTGGCCAGATTACAAATCTCTTAAAATCAGCAGATTCTGCATGATTTCAAATGGTTTCCATGCTGCAAATGAGAGATAAGCTTAAACTACAAACCTTAAATCCCTCTTGAGTGTGGATGAGGGTTTGAAGTACTCAGCTGAACTTTGCAGCTTGAGCTGCCTCCTTATAGGACCGAATAAAAATTGAATTTGATAGATGTTTATACCTTGATGCAGCTCTGTTTCCTGCCTTTATTGTGCACTTTACACAGGTTTTGTGATATAGTCTGTCTTCTGTTTCCATTCTTCCCAATACTTATATTGACGATTTTGAACATGGGTTCTCCTAAAGGAATTCTGATCAGATGTGATTGATAGGTGGTATAAATACTGTAGGTGCCAATGCTTTAGGGTCCGTTCCTGAGCCACCTGGGGGGAATGCATTGGAGTTGACTGAGCAGGCCTATTAAAAACTCTGATTTCAGTCAACCTATGAAGCCTTTCATTCTGGGCATTTTCTAAGTCATAAAAGGTGTGCTGGGCTAACTGTTATTGTACTGTCAAACCAGTAAGTGGATTAGTTGAAATAGATGTTTGGAATACGGTGGCTTTTTCACAATTCAAGAAAATAATATGCAGTAGTTTCCAGAAAACCACCGTTTCAGGTGGGTAGCTTTGAGCCGTGAATGTAACTGGCTTTAAATACTCTTTTAATGCCCTCTAGTGGACTGTGTAGGGTTAAATACAAACAAACCTGAGAATGCAAAGATCCCCCAGTTCAGGGCTCTGTGTCCTCAGCCTTTCGTGCCTGGTTGTACTTGGAGAGGCTCATTCGCTGTTCCATTAGAAGGCAGGGTAAGTTAAGATCCCAGGCAGTGCTGTGTGTGTTCCTGCAATAAATAGCGAGACACAGTGAGATCAGTTAAAGGTGGACTTCTGCTGTTTGATTCAGAACTGTCTTGATTTTGTGGCTTGTCATCAGAGCTTAAATATATCACATGACTGGTTTGAGTCTCATAGCAACACATTTCTCTGTGCATTCATTTAATTCAGGTCTAATCTAATCTGCAGTCAGACAGCTAGTCAAGGGCATAAGTAATGGTAATATTCTTGCTGTATTGTTTTTTTCCTTATGCTCTCTAATAAATAGTTCAAAGGATGTTGATGCTTTGTAATTAAAAATAAATGTAATAAGGTAAAGCTCCCATCCCCAGTGAACATCCCAGCTAACAATCTCTGTTCTATACCTACAACTTGAAGGATGAGGATTTTGGTGTTTGAATAATGGGTGCAGTTTCCAGGCTTCTTTTTCTCTGTGCATTTGAATTAAAGCATGTTTCAAGTGGCAGGACCAGCAACCATGAGTAATTATTTAGCAAGTGTTAAGTGGCTGTCAGCCCACTTGCTCGGTCACAGAACTTCTTTTTGATACGGCATGGTCTTTGGTCAAGCATTCAGTACACAAATAGCAAGGATTAGTGAAAGGCAGAATGGAAGCTCATTGGCAGCAGTTCATACACAGAAAGCTATGCTTGGCTCCTGCTGATGTTGTTAGCACCTGTGAAAGTGCACATTACCTTATAAAACAAAATACCAATCATAGCAGTATTGGAAATGGGACTGGCCTTTTCATTATAGTAATGCTCCCAGGTGCCATAAAGACATGGATGCTGTTGTAGTTGAAGTATGCAAAGAACGACTGAATCCCCAGAACATACTGAGGTTTTGGGAAGCTCATGAATACAGATTTCAGACAGTTTCCTATTTTTTTCTTGGAGCCCAGTGTTTACGTAGATGATCCCAGGATTTTGGCACTCCTAAACCAGCGCACACCAGTTTCAACTTAAAGTCGTTATCTTGAATAATCCATATTCATACTACTCCTTCCATGCACCAAGAAATATTAAATGTATCACATGACTGATTTGGGTTTCAGAGCAAACTGACAAATGGGTGCAATTAGAGAGAGAGGCACACCCACACATACACAATGGACCAGATTTTTGAAAGTACAGTACATACTGTGCTAAATCACACACGCTCTTTGCCTTGTACCTAAACTTACATGACAGCATTTGCAATATTCATATGGAAATCGTCATCTCTATGCATATAGAGCTGTTTGAGCACAGCAATTTTGTGTTTATGTGTCACATCATTTAGAAGTTTAGTCTAAGACTGAGAGCTTGAGAGCTGCATTTTGATTTTAGCTTTGCCTTCAACATAACCACCTTGTGCCAATTATCCGCCCTCCCTGTGCCTCAAAGATAAACTGCCCAGGCACTGCCCTAATGCTTTGATACTCCCTGTGCCCTCAGGCTTAATTCATTGTTTGCAAAACACCACAAGTACTCAGCTGGACGATGCTGTAAGAAGTGCAAGTTGTATTTGTTTTTATTTCATGTGTCTGGTCTTTCATAACTCTATTTGTCTGCATGTAGCAGTCTTCAAAGCCAGGTTATGTACCAATCTTATTAAGTCGGTTTTAAAGTCTTTACTAACTTTGGTAGCTTGATTTCTTTTAAATTAACATTACTTACTGAAAATCTTAGAATATTATGTATGTTTCAGTGCCATGAAGTTCAGGATTGAGACAGTGTTGTGCTAAGCTTATCCCATGAATGTTAGTAAAACATATCCTAAGTGCATCTAATAACATGAAATAACTTCTTCTGAGCATTGCAGTACAAACTGCTACAGGGCTTGTTTGTTTTTTAGGTTAAACTTGAAGAATCCTGTGTGTGTTTTGTCCCTCTCTACTGAAATAATACTACTTGCAAAATGTTGCTGTTAACTGATCCAAAGGATAAAGAGACAGGTTAGAATTGGTCAAAATATTTTGAAGTTTGAGTAGTTGTGCTTTCGTTTCTTTTAAGATGGTCTGTTGCTTGTATATTTAAATATTTGGGGGTTTGTTTTGAATATGAAGTGGATTCAGTTTCCGTGGCAGGGATTTGTGTTGGTGGTCTACTGATCAGAAGGGAGGATTGACAGTCAGAGCTTCTATGTGTAAATAGCCCTGCTGGTAGCTGAAAAATCACTTTGGGTAAATCTGTGTCTCTTTCAGAGTCTGTTCAGAGGGGTAATATTTTTCTAATTCAGGATGATGTGAAATTTAAAGCATAGTTTGGATAGAATTTGGAAATCCTTATGAAAATAGTAAATATGTATGTGAAAATGTATTAGGTCTTACTGATTCTTATTAATGTTATTTTAACTTTATGGTATCTTCTTCGGTCCTGGCTTTAATTGCCTTGTATTTCCAGTACTGGTATGTGAGGGGTAAATCTAGAGTGAGACCATGCTCAGGAATTCAGTTAAATCTATTTTATTTGGCAGTTCTCCCAAGATACTCTTTAAACTTTACCAGCTTTGCCGTGCTTGCTGCTAGTAATGCTGGTGTTTTCCTATTGCAGCCATGTGTCAGCTTGACAGGGACACACTGAAGTTGTGTTACAGGCAGTAGAAGTCAGCATGTGCTTACTGGTGTTTCTGTTTCATGAGTCACTGCTTAAAGTATCAACAGGTTATTAAGATTTGATCAGCAGTTGTATCTAAGTTTTTTATCTCCCTGCTATCAGGATCACAGTATCTTCAGACACAGCCTAATTTCTTCCTACTTACTCCCTTAGGCATGTGTCTTTGACTATGGAATGTCAAAAAAATGTAAATGCAAAGTAAGTAACACGTCTTGATATCACCAACAGGAAGCTTGGCTCCAAGTTGCCTGGTATCAAAAGCCCAGGTTGCAACCCACCTAGATTAAATGAAGAGTGTTGCAGCTGTTGTGAAGCAATGGGCTATAAAATTTTGGAAACAGCTACAACAAAGACATGAACCTATGCATTGACCCATTGTGTCAGGGAATGTAGAACACGTGAAACATCTTAAACTTGCAGCTTCCAAATGTAGCAGCAAACTAACAACATCTGTCATTAAAAACATACTTTATTTTTGTAAAGGATAAGCCTGAAAGGCTTTAATAGCCAGTATTCTTAATAATACAGCAAAGGCAAGGCAAAGAAATTTATCACTCTCTTTTCAGTTCCAAAGTGTGTCAGATAAAGATCTTACACTTCTAGAACAGGTACTAGTAGTGTAACTAAGTGTTCATTATTCAGTCCAAACCCTATAACCAGGAAATTTCTTCATAAGAACAAAAAACAGATTAAAATCATCTGTGGTTAGAGGTGAACACTGCAGAGTTTCCCAGCTCCTTTTACATATGATTTCAATTGGATGTTTGCTAATGGGTTGTGATTCACATAGTTGAAAGTAGGAGACCTTTCCAAGTTACAAGTGTAGTCAAAAGACTTTCTGGTCCCTCAAAAACTATTGATATAGAATTACTTTTCTGACATTAATTTATATATTCCATTCATGGTTTTCTGAAGAGAGAGAGGCACTGGTGTGGTAAAGGAGAGGAACGTCTACACTGGAGGCCAAACTTGCTCTGTGAGTGCAGTTGTGCAGAGCTACTGACTCATGTTCAATGGAATGTGGTTAAAAAGAGCATTAAGTTAGTTTAGGCTGCACAAGAGGAATGGGGATCTGTAACAACTACAATGCAAAAATAGAGTTATTAAATAAATGCAGGTGAAAGCAGTGCATTTAGCACAAACCTTCAGTGAAATGATGTAATAGTGTTAGGAACAACAAGTATTAATGAGGTACATGTACACGAGGTAAAAATGATTTCCCACAGGAACAAGTCAAACAAGTCCACATTGGAGCCTAAATTAAATGATAGCTATCTCTATTAAAAGCTTGAACCTAGCAGAATAAACACCTTATTTTATTATAAACTACAGACTGACTGGCTGCTGTGACCCCCTTGCAAAAGTTTAGCTTGAGTCACCAGCCCATACTCACAGAGATCACTAACTCTGGTTGTTTAAGGCTACATCATCTGGCTTTTAATATTGCCTTTTCAAAGTATGATTTAAAGGATTTTACTGGAAATTCTTTGTTTCTGGATTTTATATGCTATAAACATGTGGCCAGTCTTTTGACACACATTAGATTTGGCTGATGTGATTTTTATTTTTTTTTCCCCTTTAGATGAATTTTAATCAATTTTCATTAGTTTTCTAAAGCCTGCTGGGGTGTGTGTATATGTGTGTGCATACCTAATACATATGGGTATATCCATTTGAACTGTTCTGTCCAAGGATTTTTCTCACAGTTCAACAGTTTTGGAACTGACTCCCATGGCAGCAGACTGTGTTAATGTGGCAAGTCCATCTGGATTTGCTTACCTATATGACCTTTTGTTCTGACCACTGAACAGATCCAATTGTTTCAAAACCAGTTTCTTCAGAGAAAAGCAGTACTTACTGACTCGCTCATTGTTCCTTAAGGACATGGGCAGAAAGTTAAAACACTAAATAGGTTGTGTGATTTTCTTCCTCCCTTGAGCTTTACACTTTCCTTGTGAACTCAAGTCCCATCCAGATGGGAGAAACAGTCTTGCTGGGGTTGAGCTCTTCACTTTCTCATGTGCTGTCCAGTGGATCTTTATTTTAATTTTACTTCACACCAGGAGTGTTCTTAGAAGCAAATTTCCTGGCTGTCCCCACATACTGTGCTTCAGCTCACATCAGGAAGCACTCTCGGAGTGTGTGAACTGGATTGCTTTTGGCTGATATGAAATTAGAAGCTGTACTCCAGAAGCACACTGATGTACCTCAACCTCAAATAGGCTTTAAGTTTTCAGGACCAGGCTTGAATTTGTGAACATCAGGCTGTCTGTGCCAAATGTTTTGCTCTGTGAATTCAGTTTTGATAGTGTTAGTCTTGCTAATGCAAACATGGTCCTTGATTCCAACACTGAGATTTATATCTGATCACCTTGATCAGATGAGTTGTCCAGAAGTGATGCGTAGCTTGTGGTCTGAAATGACCTGCATATTTCAAAGAGAAAATGGGTATGACAGCTTTTCCAGAGGACTTGGTCTTGGTTGGGAGCATTTGTAATTTACTTTTGATGGGCTGAGTGTACTCTTCTGTTAGTATATCTGTACAGATATTTGTATGGGAATGTAAATTGTGTTGTAAGGGCTTCCAGAGCATAGCACGGGTGATTAACATCTTGATAACACTAAATAAACATACCCTATTGTGGCGTTTTCTGCCTACTGTATATAATAATTTACAATAACTGTTAGATGCCATGGAACATTTATCACAAGGCATTTGCAACAAATCACTGAGTAAAACTGGAATTGTAGAAGAAAATGTAATTGGTTGCAGGAAAGAGATCTATCTGAGATACTTGAATGGCTGCCATTGCTGCAGCATCTTCATGCCTCCCAAGCTATAATGTATTTATTTCAATAAGACTCTTAGGAAAGAGAGGGACAGGCTCTTATTCCAGTTTAAATACAGGGAACTGGGAGCACAGCTATACAGAGTATGTTGGTGCTGCAGAATGCAGTTTGATGTGTATTCTCTGAGCTTCCTCCAGTGTTGGCACTGACTTAGGCTCAGTTGCATGGATCTACTTGGAGTAATTTACCATGCTCCTTCCAAGGTGGAAATCTGGCAAAAGCAGCCACTGTAAGTGTGTCATCCATCTGAAATACTGCCAAAATTAAGGTAAAGGTGACTTTATCTAAGGTGAAGAACTGTTGCATTCTGTATTTATTAAACTAACTCCAAGTACATCTGTCATATATAGCATTGCCTTTAATTTAGCTTGTGACTGAGGGATGCATATCAGCAATTCAGATGAAGGCTGGGGGAGCAGAAGTACCAAGCTGGATGTTGCTTTGATTTTTCTGCTTTACACTGCGTAGAGTCCTGATGAGCACATTTCATTCAAATAGTTGCACACCCGTGAGGGAACGTTTGGCCAGCATAGCCTAGAAAGTGAAAATATAATCCAGGCCTGGGTTGGGAAGGGATCCACGTTTGCCTAGCAAGAAGAGGCATTTCATAATCACAATTGCATTATGCTTAGTGCCTAATTCAAGTCCGTGTTGTTCAGTGCTGTATTCCAAATACCCATATGGAATCGTGTGCTTCACAGGCTCCTAGCTTCTTGCAACACTCTGAATATGTTTGTCTGACTGCAAGTGATCAAAATACTGAGGTTTAGCAAGCTGGTGCTTACAGGACAAGCCACCCAACTAAGCATGTATATACTCCATTAGTTGTGAACTGAAATGTAGTGGACTTAATCCATTTCACCTAGTCTTGCAGTTGCAAGATCAAGCATATAAAGTCTTGCAATTGCAAGGTCATTGTAATTATATACACAGGGTTTGGGTGATGTGTGTCACCTACTGTCAGCACTAACTTGATCTCTTATGGTAAGTTGAATGTAACCAAATGTCTTAGAACAAGACCGGGAAAGGAGAGTGAAGGAACATGTGGTCTCCCAAGACATGTTTGCATTTGAAATAGTGTTCCTGAAAGTTGATTATAAAATGAAAATGAGAATATGGGGAAGCATGGATGGATTTAACTGCGGACCAGATGTTGACTTGAAAAATGATAACAAAAAGCAAAGTACATATGTTTGTGTGAAATCTGGAGAAATGTTTTTCCTTCAGGGAAGGCATCCATATAGATCAGGTTGCTCAAGTAATGTGATGTGACAGTTGCTATGTCAACTAGTGTTCCCTTCCACACATTTAAATTATTGAATAGCACAGTAAATGTTCTATAAAAGTAGCTCCTTACAACATGGTTATGCACCTTCCCATTTTCCTCAAAGCTTTTTCAAACTTTCCTGACCATTGCTATGTGTCTTAAATGCCTGAACTATGTGCCAACCATCCATGCAGCTCCCATTAAAGTCCACGTTTAGCCCATTCTGTCCCCTTTGACTCAGCTCCCATTGTAGCTGCATGTTTCATGGATGTGTAATGGAGCAGTGGCTGCTTGCATTTGAAAGCAGAGCGAAGGGATTGAGGGAACAGATTGAATCCATCACAGAAAAAGTATGAGACTCCATGCAAGTAAGTGCATAATATTTAATGAATTGAATCTGGTGCTATGAACAGGCATCTGCCCTTGCGTGCAATACTTTCTTCATTGTTAAGCCAGTACACAAAGTGTAACACTTTTTGGCACATGCTTTAATAATTTATTTGAGCTATAAGTTAGTTAAGCAGAATCTCCAGCCTTAAAGCCAGTGGGAGTTGGTAGAGGCTGAGGCAAAAAAAGGAAACTAACCTGTGCTCATCAATGACATTTGTATAACCTGAGGCTAAACCAGGTAAATGGTGAATCCTGTTAAAGCCATTTCACTTCCTTGTGGGTTCATTTGTCTCTAACTCATAGCTGGTTTTTAACTTTCTTAGGTTTGTCCCTAGTTGGGTAGCTTAGAAAGCCACAGACAGTGCACTCTCTTAGGACTCAAGAGGTGTGAATTCCATGCTGTTCTTTGCAACATACTTCCTGTATTACGTTTTATCTTTTTGTCTCAAAATGGGGATGATAGCTGCCCTGTTTGAAGATAGCAAAGGTAGTGATGTTCTTGAGCAATCCTGGAATTGTGGCCATGCGCTTTCTTTAGGTGGACGTCACCATGATGAAAGTTCTTTTCGCTGAAATACTTGCTTCTTGATGTGTCATAAATGAGCAAATTTCTGGTTTTATTTTAAAACTTAATCTAAGCCTTTGAAATCTATTCTATATCCTTCGAAATGACCCTGGGTTAAAACTTTTCTTACTTGAACAGAGCTTGGGATCAATTTTTGCGTCACTGTTGCTGCTTCAGTATTTCTCTTATACATCTAATGGCAGACAGTGAATTCTGTAGATGAACATGTAGGAGTAGGGTTTAAATACATGTTTCTGCATATGTGAAAAATTGAGGAAGGATGAGAAGTGGGGTGCAAGTTTTGCATAGCACCTACATAAGGACTTATGTGTAGGTTGGTAATGCATTTCTGCTTCAGGGCTACGTATCTTACTTATATGTGCATATGTCTGTCCTTCGGCGATAGGATTTTCTCCATATGCATTTGAACTTGTGTGAACATTTGTCCATGCAGAGATTTAGGAGTCTGTCCTCTAAGGTTTCAGATATGTAGAAATTCAATCACATAGGCAGCTGAAAAGGTAGTTGATGAAGTGGATATGAAAACTTGTATTTGACTTGTGTGGGTGCAAATAGGGGCATGTATACATGTGGGCAGGGGACAGCCTGAAAGAAACTTTGCAGATGTAACCTTTAGCTAGGTAGCTCTCTCTGTCCCAAATGCCACTCAAACTTACTGTGCTGCTGAACAGATATTATGCAGGATGTGCTTTATTCACGTGGCACACAGGGTGTCACACCAAAGTTGCATCAATTCCTGAGAAAAATTCCCTTTACCTGATGCCTCGTGCAGTACTGAAAATTGGATGTCGGGGGACACAGAGGTGAAATTGAAATACAACTGTTGTTCTGCTGTCTCACAGCAGATCAAACTGGAGCCAGCTGGAGGGAGAAGTAGATCAGAGGCTGCTTGTGGAAAGGTTCAGAACTAACTTTGTATTTATTTGCAGCTTACGTGTTCTCTTGTCTCTTTCTTTTTGTAGTTTTGGCAGTTTATTTGAACCAGTGTTGGTGGCCTGTTGAAGATGTAGTAAAGACAGCTGATCCCTCTAGAGATGGGCTCATTTCGGTAAGGATGCTATTTTAAACACTTGCCTTTACCCTGGAACTTTCCAGCTAGAACAATCACATGTAATTGTCTGTGGTCTCCTATAGCTCATGCTTTATAACCCATGAGTTCTGGGCTGTGTGGCTCATGAGGTAGTTCACATCTCCCATTACACAGTGACATGCACATTAACCCTCCCTAAGCAATTTTCTGCATGCAGTTGATGATTTAGCTGTGGGATTTATGTTGGTTTGGGTTTAGTTTACCCTCTCTGCCTACTAAAGGAGTAGTCAGCTAAACCTAATTACTACCTTAGCAGTAACTCTCCGTGTTAGTGTTGCTTGACTGACTGACTGTTGGAAGGTGTCACTACCCTTTGGAACAATGTCTTATTTAGCTAGTTATGAACTTTTTTACCTTGGATAATGTTTATAGTGTGTTCATTTTATGAAATGGTTGTTATTTAATAGGTTCTATATATGTAATTCTTTTTTTCAAATAAATTATCTTAGTAAGGAACAACTACTTTTTTATAACTTGAGAGATTTGGGTAACCTGTAGTCTGCTTAAACTAAGAAGTCGGATGTGAGCTTTGTGTTGCCATGAGGCTGTTAAGTCAGTTCTGTTTCATAGCAAACCCTCTGTGTCCAACTTTGGTCTTAATTATTCTAATCCTGTATCATTCCCCAATATCTGCCATGCATAGAGTTGAATTATTCACTGAATTAAGTAGGCTTTTTGTGAGTAGCTGAACTGAAGGCTTCAATCCTTACAAGATGGAACAGAAACATAGGCCTTCAGGCTTTCAAGAGTCTGCTGTATCAACAGAGAATAGAAAAATATCTGAAAATAGAAAACTTGCCCCTTCTATGTCATTGCTAAGGGGTAAGTTGTCATCACTTGTGGAAACTCCCATTTTCTTTGTCAGCATTCATATAAAGCTTGTTGGCAGTACTTTTTACCTTGATGAATGAGATAGTCTTGTTCCTTTATATTTTTCCACCTCCCTGTCCTGTTGGTGGTCTCGTAAGAAGCATGGCATAAAAACTAACAGTTCATGTTATACCTAGATTATAAACTGTTTGGGACAGCTATTATAAGCTGTTTGGGACTGTATTTATTCTCTGTTTTGTATAGTATCTACCTCAGTAAAGTCCTGAGCCAGTAAAGTTCTTTGATGCAGGGCAGCTAATAGGGAGAGGTGACCAGGGTAACACAGTGACTCTTGTCTTTATCTCACTTTTGGGTAGATTAGATTGCCTTGATCCCATTTCCAAATCTGTGACTGGTTTGCTGTGACTACAGTCAAGATACTTCTTTTCTTGCTACTTTAGAATTCCTCTCTGTGACAACAGGAGATATGCCAAGCTTTATAAATCGTTACTAGATTATTCTACATCCTCTAGATAGAGGGTGGGCACTGGGGAAAACCTTTTTTATTATTCTGTTTGAAGCAATTCATGAGGTGTTTTTCCCCAAATTAAGTGTTCATGTTTCCTGACCTCCTCCTTCCCAGTACCTTTCGATTTTGAAGCCTTTTATGAAACACAGAATACTGTGCTCTGCTTCATTTTTCTTTGGTCTGCTTTTGTTTGTTCTCTAAGGTCCAGACATTTGAAGAAAGGATTGTCCTCTTTGTTCTGAACTACATTATCTTTGGAATGCTGGAAGGGAGTTCAGCTAATGATGCATTCTTTCTACCTCACTCTGCCACCGAGTGTGCCAAGATACTCTGGAGAAATGGTGAGGCTGTTGCCTTCTACTCGGTCAAGATGAAAGGTAAGGTCATTTTAGAGACACATTTCCATTGGTTCCTAGTAGATAGAAATGTAATCCTTTTGTTTATCTTTCAGTATAAGTAATCCTGGCTCTCCTACACATTTTTATATCAAATCTCTCTCAGAATGAATCTGGGGAACGAACCTTCCCAGAATTTGGAAGCCATCCATACTACTTTCATTTAAACATGATGGTTCCAAACTATATTCTCAGTTACACTGAGTGATCTGAGGTACTGGCTTATTCCAATAAAATATGCTTTAATGCAGCCAAGTAGAAGGTCATACATCTAGGAACAAAGAATGCAGGACCTACCCACAGAATGGAGGACTGCATCCTGGAAAGAATGATGTCTGGAAAAAAAGGAGTACAGTTCACAGTGGAAAACCAGTGTATCAGGAGTGGCTGGTGATGGGGAGTGGCAGTATCCTTGGATACATATGGAGCAGTGTCTGGGTTGTATAGAGGAAGGTGTATGCACTACATCAGTCCTAAAATGCTTCGTCCGCTTATGGTGCTCCCATAACCTTTGAACTCCCAGTTTAAAGGATGATGATAAATTGATTTCATCATTAATTGATTAACTGGCATAGAAAAGAAACAAAGCATATTTCATTCTTTAGGGATACTTGCGCCAGTATAAGCTTTAGTGAAGGTCTTTTAATAAATAGAGAATGGTAAAGGCTTCATTAGAATAACTTCAGGTATGCAGTTGAGTACATACCCCTATGTAGGAGCTGGTTACCAGTTTGTGTTTAAGATTCATGGGTGTCATCTTGATACCAGCAGCTTAAGCATAGAGAAGTTTGTATCTTTGGTGGTAGATGTATTGTTCAGGTCAGCAATCAGTAGCCATCTATCCAAAAGGGCAGAGTAAGAAATATCTTGAGAGCTGTACAGATATGGATTGCTTTGGATTCCAGAGGACTGGCTGAAGGTGCCTTCTCTGAGAGTCTCAAAGGCCAGCAACAATAAGAGATGTTGTGCTCTTCTGCTGCCTTGGGATGTGCAAAATCCTTCTTCACACTGAGGTGTAGCCTGTGCACCACTGTGTTTGTACAGTACTACTCTACTATCAGTGATGAATCAAGTCTCAGCCTATAATAAAGGAATTTTGTATATGTATGTGAATATGCTGATGAACTGGTTTGTAATTGGCAAACACTTCAATTGCCATTGTACATTTTCCTTTAAGCCCATAAATATTTCTGAGCAAAGCTTTTGGAAAGAAACACTTGTATGGGCTGTAATGATTCATGCTTCAGTAAAATAAATTTGCACAGTAGTCTGTTATGGGTGGAGTATTAGCCAAGTTGAAACTGTTCCTGAGTAAGTTGAGAGTCACAGTTTGGTTTTAAACCAGGTCCACATAAAATACAAATTCTTCAAGTCCAGCTTTGTCAGCATCTGTCTTTTGTTGCCAGTGGTTTTTTTTTATTCTGGGCAGCTATATTTGTTAGTTTTTGGCCTGTGTCACAAATTACTGCAGTCTCTTGCCAAAGCCTTTTCGGGAAGCTTGAAACTGATTGTTTTTGCCCCTTTTTGCTATTTGCTGTATGCATGTAGAAAATAATTCCTCTTTCTGAAGTTCTGTGATTTCAATTTCATACCAGCCATGCTCTGGCTGATCCTATTCTCTCTACTTGCTAGAAGAGCCATGGATTTACTAGAAACAAATAAACAAAACCAAACAACAGACCAGGCTAAGATGATAAATATCTTCTTTTAGAAGCTATATTTCACAGTGTTGTTTCAGATACTGTTTTTTTTCTTAATTTTCTTTTTGCTTTTTTTAATCATAATATAAATTCTTTTTACTGTTCTGGTCAGAATGTTTAGTAGGGGCAGCTTTAAGTACAGGACTTTATATGTTCCTCGACCTCTGTTACAGCTTCTGGTCCTAGGAAGAAATTGTTTTTCCTTGTGCCCACCATGTGATTCTGATTCCCTTTAGTCCCATGCTCTGCAATTACCTGGCTATTCTTTATAGTTTTATTTTCTTCACTATGTAATTTAGACTCTCATGCTGATGTTGTATTCAACTGTATTTCTCATCTGTGAATTTTCCATTATCTACAGTCTGACAAAACCCATGCTTCAGTGGAGCCAAATAAGCCAGAACAGATCTGTGGAGCATGGCTGTTTCAAACATCAGTCATCTGGGTGAATCACGGAAACGGTGACCAAGGAGGAGAGAGTCTGTTCTATCTTTGCTGTGGATTTAGTGTGCCGTTATGCAGACTACATTTTCCATGAACTTCAGTGATTCCAATTAACTATCTTGGCAATATTGTAAAGCCATTTCCATTTGCCAGTTCCTAGGGGGCCTGTACAAAGTGAGCTTGGTGATTTTGGTCCAGTTCCACACATCCATCCGTCTTACGAAAGTCCTTCACTGGATCTCTTCTGATAGTCTGGCTAAAGAGGGACAGATGGTCTTGAGCACCCTCCTTGCTCCGAGTCACAGTAACTGCAAGTCAAGGTTTTGAGACAATTTGGCAGCTACTGACACTGGCCATCCTGCACCTGTTGGGTAGATAAACAGAAGACTCATTCTTCAAGGCTATCACTTTCCGTGAGCATTAGACACCTTTATTAAGACGAAATTTATTCATGACTACACAGATCATCAACCTGGCCTCTCTGGTATGTGCCTATTCCTCTCCAATGTCAGGCATGCAGCATTTACCACTGGGTATACTAAAGATTGATGAGACGTACTAAGCCACTAATGAGGCTGATAAGACACTTTGTCACGTGCCAAGATAAATGTCTCCAATTTTATCTATGTCAGCGGCTTCCACATTAGACAGCTGAGGAGTGAGACCTCACTGAATGTAGCTAAAGGTACAGCAGGAAATGACAGTTCCCTGTCCCTGTCTTTGCAGAGTGCAGCCTGAAAATGAAATATTTTGCAGAAAACCTTCAAACAGATACTTTTGGTTTGAGATCTTTTTTTATATTCTTTTAAGACTTCATAAACATACTCTGGGTTTGAGGTCTGGTTTATATTCTTTTAAGTATTTCTTTCAGATTCTTTTCTTGATATGCTCTAAATCTGTGTGAGAACCTGAAAGAGAATGTGTTTTGTGTGGTGATGCAGGATTAATGACCGTGGGTACTGACACTATTTTTTGTGCAGTGAGACCATGTAATTCCCTGAAAGTTTTTCTTTTTTATTTACTGAGGACTAGTAATTACAGCAAATGAACTTTCGCCACCTTCAGATAAATGTCAGGAGAATGTAGGAGATTCATATTCCAAATAAATCACTAAGGAAGTTGGAGGATGCTATGAGCCATAAACCAGAACACTCCCTCCCTCCCCCTCCCTTTTTTATATACAATTTTTTTTCCCTACTGTTATCTATTACTGTTTCTATAACACTTATGAGCTGCCCAGTTGCAGACCAAACTGTCAGTGGAACAAAAAGGAGTCAGATTGTCAAAGCTTGTCCCTTCCCAATCTTACTGTGTCTCTTTTGTCAAACCTTAGTAGTAAAAGTATGGAGAAAGATGGTGTTCTGTGTTATGTGAATCAAACCAGCTTTAACAAAACTGGGTCCTCTGAGAAGGCTGTAAAACATGCACTTGAATCTGGAGTAAATGTGCTGTTAGCTTCTCATTCATTCTTTAGAGATGCTCCACAGATCACAGTTTGGGAACACTTGACTGCAAAACTCTAAGCTGATACCAAACCAGCAGCAAAGCAGCAGCAAAGCTCAGGCTCTGTTTTTACCTATCGCAGAGCCTTGGAGATTGTCTTTGGAAGCGGCGACCCAAGCTAAAATTCATTTCACACCTTACTTCATGCAAGCCTTCACAAATTTCTTTTAATACTTTGGTGGCCCAGGTTGTATTCTCTAGAAATAGATCCCCAAAAGATAATAGGATTTTATTTTTCACTGGTTACATGTATTTCTTTTAGAATTAAAAATTAACTCAGTTAACCTGACAGACAATTAGCTGAAATCTTGTTACATAATTGCTTTTGTCTCCCTCTGTTTTCTAGCAATAATATTTTTAATGTGCATTTCTGAAGCAGACTGAAGGTTCTGGCTGTAATAAAAATTAAATGACTACATACCAGTCAAGACATGAATTAATTTAATTTTATTGAAGCCAGAACCTTTGTTCCCCTTCTCACATACAAACTCACACAATGGGTTGACCTTGGGTTCTATTCAGCAGAAATATTCCCCACCCTTTACACAAGCACTCAGCCTGCTTAAGGCCTGTCCAAACATGTGTGTGCCAAGCCAACTTGTTCAGCA